TTCGATATTTATATACTCAAATATGTGAAAATGTTATTTAATTTTATTTTATATAAACTATAGTTTTATTAAAACATAACTACATGATCATTTTGATATAATTACAGCTTCATTGTACAATATACACTCAAATATGTGAAATGTTATTCAGTTTCATTTAATATACACTGTAGTTTCATTTCACCACAACAACAATATCATTTTAATATAACTGCAGTTTCATTTGATAATATAAAAATAATACGTGAGGCAATGTCAATTTAGATATACTGTAGTGTCAGTTGGTAATTAGCATAGAAAAAATGCCCACTCCATTAAAACTAACGGCGCCGTTTTGACCACGGTGCACATGCACTGCGGTCCACGATATAACGACCCTCCAAAGTCGAATGATATTTAATAGAGAAAAGGGTCAAATAGGCCCCTGAACATTTCGTGAAAAGTCAATTAGACCCATGACCTTTTTAAAAGTGCAATTGAACACATGAGCTAACGATTTTGAGTCATCCAACCCCGTTAGCAGGTTCCCTCTCCGGTGTTCAAATTATGCCGTTGAAACATGTTCACCATGCTTGCTGAACACAGTCCCAAACGGCATCGTTTTTACCGGAAAAAAAAAAAATTAGTTAATGTGTTGTTAACGGCGTTTTGCATTTTATGTTCAGATTATGAATTTACATTTATTAAATTATGAATTTTCTTTTATGAGATTATGAATTTACAGTTATGTAATTATGAATTTTCTGTACATTCATAATCTCATAACAGAAAATTCATAATCTCATAATAGAAAATTCATAATTACATAACAGAAAATTCATAATCTCATAAAAGAAAAACATTTATTAAATTATGAATTTTCTGTTATGAGATTATGAATTTACAATTATGTAATTATGAATTTTCTGTACATTCATAATTTCATAACAGAAAATTCATAATCTCATAACAGAAAATTCATAATCTCATAAAAGAAAATTCATAATTTCATAACAGAAAATTCATAATTTCATAAAAGAAAATTCATAATTTCATAACTGCACATTCATAACTCCATCATCCATGCTGGCACATTCATAATTTATGAGTGATGGATTATATGACCCCGGGGTCCGGATTATTCAACCCGAATATATGTCGAATATGATAAACGAATAATAAAATGATTATAATTGGGGTGTGTACGAAAAGAATATTATATTAATTGAGCGTAAAAGGCTATTACAGAGGTTCGGGACGTGTAATAACGTTACAAGTATTGTCAGGATGTAGGATATAGGAATCAAGTGTCCCTTGTTAGAACAAGGAGAGGGGTTTTTATATGCTACAAGCCTCTAACCGCTCCCCCTAAACCGGGGGATGGTTGGATCTAGCGCTTTGACTGCGTCCTAGCTCAGGACCAGGTCCAAAGCGTGGCCCGGGGTACGCGGGAGGAGTCGCAACTGCCACCGCACGACTTGGACAACGCGGGGACCCCGTCCCGGCCGAGCTCCGGCCGAGCTCGGAGCTCGGCCGGGCCGACCCCGCGTAAGCCGACCCGGGGTGCGCCGGCCGACCACGTGGTAGCCGGGCCTACGTAGGCCGACCCCGGGGTGCCGAGCCCATGTTGGCCGACCCCGGGGTGGTTCGTCACTCCGTGTGCACAGTAGCCGGGGACCCCGTGATAGTAGCTGAGGACCCCGTGGTAGTAGTTGAGGAACCCGGGGAGGTAGACCCCTCCATGGTCTGTCTAGCCGCGTGCGTAGTCCACTCGGTGCCGGGTGTGATCCGCTCCATATTTCTTCGCTCCAGGTCCGCTCCGTAATTATTCCATCATTAGTGCCCCACTCTCAGGGCTGCGAGAAGTTGTCAGCCCAAGAGAGTACCAAAGCCGCTTGATAATTACAGACCCCCATCGTGTTTTAACGCTTCATCCTTCGTCCATGCTTGTTGTTGTGCAAGCTGTCGCCCGAGCGACGTCCATGGAGAACGTGTTCGGGACCCTTCAGGCTCAGCTGGGGGCCGAGATGGAGGGTCGCAAAGAGTTGGAGGCGGCGCACAAGGCCATGGGGAGCAAGCCTGCGGCGTTGGAGGGCAAGTATGCAGAGTTGATTGCCAGCCATGCGCCGGGCGCATGAGGAGGCTTCGAAGGCAGCCGTGTTGAGCTACAAGGGCTCCGAGGTGGGCTCTGAAGGCAGCCCTGTCAAGCTACAAGGACTCCGAGGTGTTCATCAAGGATGTGAAGGCCCACCTCGCCGAGCATGCGGTGGAGACCTTTGGGGACCTTCTACGCGACCCCGTTGGCAAAGGGTTCGTGGCTATGCAGGGATTGCAGATGTACAATGTGGGAGAGTATGTGATGCAACGTAGGGTTTAGTTCGTTCTTTGCAAGACAGACAAGACCCTCTAACCCGTGGCATGGGGTCTCCCAGCTGACCTCGGGAACTCGGAGTCACCAGCCGACCCAATGGAGATGTTCATCTGACTTCCCCTCGGATCTCAGCCACGGACCTTCCGTCTAATCTGGACTTGATTTCAGTCCTTCCACATGGTGCTTGTGATGATGTCCCTTTGGAGCGGATTCAAATTGACCCTGTTGGCGTTGAGGCTCTCCTTCAGCCAGGCGATGGGGAGACGCGACTCATCCGTATGGCGATAGGCGAGGTCGGACCTCCTCGAGAGGTTGGCGGAGACCTCCCCAAGAGATCGGCCGGGACCTCCCCGAGAGGTCGGTCGAGACCTCCTCGAGAGGTCGGAGGGGACCTCCTCGAGAGGTTGGCGGGGACCTCCTCGAGAGGGAGGCGGAGACCTCCCCGAGAGGTTGGCGGAGACCTCCCCGAGAGGTCGGCCGGGACCTCCCCAAGAGGTCGGCGGGGACCTCCTCGAGAGGTCGGCCGAGACCTCGTCGAGAGGTCAGCCGAGACCTCCCCGAGAGGTCGACCGAGACCTCCCCGAGAGGTCGGTCGAGACCTCGTCGAGAGGTCGGCGGAGACCTCCCCGAGAGGTCGGTCGAGACCTCCCCGAGAGGTCGGTCAAGACCTCCTCGAGAGGTCGACCGAGACCTCATCGAAAAAGTCCGCCAAGACCTCCTTTGGAAGTCGACCGAGACCCTGCCGAGTGGCGAATGAAGTCGGACTTCGGGCTCCCCTTAGGGTAGCCCTTCGACTCCAAGCCACCATACTTAGGCCGTTAAGCTCTTCCGTTGGGGTTGGTACACGAGGTCGGACCTCGTGCCCCCTTAGGGTGGCCCTTCGACTCCATGTCACCAGGCTTGGGCCGTTAAGCTCTTCCGTACGCGAGGTTGAGCCTCGTACCGTCGCTAGGGTATCTAGATTGCGTTACGCCCGTTCGGCGATAGGCGAGGTCGGTCCTCGTACCTTCCCTAGAACGTCTTAGCGATTCTTAGGTTGGAGCCTTTTGACTGACATCCCGAATCCTTCCGTTCGGCAATAGGCGATGCCAGACCTCGTATCACCCCTAGGGTATTTACATTGCGTTACGCCCATTCGGCGGTAGGCGAGGCCGGACCTCGTACCGCCCCTAGGACGTTTTAGCGATTCTGGGGTTAGAGTCCTTTGACTCGCGCCCCGAACCCTTCCGTTTGGCGATAGGCGAGGCCGAACCTCGTACCGCCCCTAGGGTGTTAAGATTGCGTTACGCCCGTTCGGCAGTAGGCGAGGCCGGGCCTCGTACCGCCCCTAGGACCTTTTAGCGTTTCTGGGGTTGGAGTCCTTTGACTCGCGCCCCGAACCCATCCGTTCGGTGATAGGCGAGGTCGGACCGTATACCACCACTAGGGCCTGTGCTATGTCTTGGTTGGCCGTCGCAGTCACCGCGTACGCAATTGCCACGTCCGGCCGACCCGGTATGGCCGTCCTCAGGTCGGCCAACCTTACGTCGACCGACCCCGCGTTGGCCGACCCTGAGGAGGCCAGCCCCGCGATGCTCGAGTACTTGATCTCGCATGTGCCCGTGCTCTTCCACAACTCGGGGTAGGATAATTGCTCAACGAAATTTCTTATTCCACTATGAACGAAAACAAAACATTATTGTGGGGAGTCGGCCTGTTATTGGGGAAGGGGAAGGCCGTAAAAATGTGCTTCTACTCGTAAAATTTCAGCGAGTGCTCCGAGTTCCACACCCTATCCACCATCTTGCCCGATGGGGTCTAGAATGACCTCTTCCGTCTCTACCGCGGGTTCGGCTCGGGACCGCTTCTCCTCCTCTCGAAGCGCCTTCCCGGTTACGGTGTGTACCTGGAGGTCCTTCCTTGTTATTTGGCGGCATGCCTTCAAGTAGCAGCTCCGACTGATCTTCTGGTCTCCCCGCGCGACACCCACTCTTGTGGGGGTGGGAAACTTGAGGCAAAGGTGCTCCACGGAAATGATGCACTTGAGGTCCTTTAGGGCAAGTCGGCCGAATATGATATTGTAGGCACAGCTGATTTTGACCACCACGAACTCCACCTCCCACCTTTAGACGTGCGGCGAGGTGCCGATTTGTTCCTTGAAGGTGATGGAGCCCTCTGTTTCGATGGATTCCCCGGTGAAACCAGATAGCGGGGTCCATACCGGGGAGAGCTGCTTCCGGGATAGCCCGAGTTGCGTGAAGGTGTCATAATACATGACGTTCGCGGAGCTTCCCGTATCCACTAGTACATGGTGGACAATGATGTCCTTGATCTCCAGCCTAATTACAACCGCGTCTCGGTGGGGCAGGGGGCCATCTGGGAGGTCGTCGTTGGTGAATGTTATGGGCTCCCGGTGTGTCCTCTTTTCGTGGGGTACCCGGACGACCTCCCCCACGTATAGGCTTTGCGCCCACCTCTTCCTCTCGGCGGGCGTGTCTCCACCCTCCGGACCGCCAAAGGTGACGTGGATGACTTTCTTCTTTGGCAGGCTGTCTGGCTCGGTCTCCTCGTCCTCCGTGAGTTGACCGAGTTCCTTCTTGCGCGGGGCAAAGGCGGATGGTCCGGCACCGCCCTTCTTCTTCCGGGCGTTGTCGAGGCCTTTGGCGGGGTCCTACCCTGTCCTCTTCACATATTGGCCGAGGTACCCCCGCATGATGAGCTCCTCGATCTGTCTCTTGAGGACCATACACTCGTTCGTGTCGTGCCCGCGCTGCCGATGGAAACGACAGTACTTCTTCGGGTCAGCCTTGGGGTTGACCTTCAAGCACTCCTCGGGGAATGACACGATATCCATGTCCTCCGCGTGGTCCAGGATGACGCTCACGGGCTGTGTCAGTGGGGTGAGGTGTCGCAGTGGGGTTAGACAGGGACCCCGATCACGGCGTGACCGTGATGGGCGACGGTCCTCTTGAGGTTGAGGTGCCTTGTCACTCCAGCCCCGCCCCTCCTCCTCCTCTTTCTTCCTCTTCTCTGCCGCCTCGGCATTGGCATACCGCGCGACGCAGTCCATCAACTCCGTGTACGTCTTCGGCTCGTTCCGAACGAGGTCGCTGTGGAAAGGACCGGATCAGAGGTTGTTGGTGAAGAATGGGATGGCAGACCTTTCGTCAAAATTGGTCACCCCCATGGCCTCCTTCTTCCACTTGCTCAAGTACTCCGCCATGGTCTCCGACTTGAGTTGCTTCAGGTAGCATAGGTTGGCGAACTGTTTCCATCGTTGTATGTTGCCCGCGAAGTGTGACATAAACTTCTTGGCTAGGGCGGCAAATGTGGGGATGGACTCTACCGGCATGGCCCTGAACCAGTCTTGGGCCTGGCCATCTAGAGTCGTGCAGAAGCCACGACACATGATGGCGTCATTGACACCCGTCATCATCATGACTGCCTTGTACTTGTTGAGGTGATCTCGCGGGTCCGTCGCCCCCGTGTAAGGTTTGATGGCCGGGAATCAGAAGTCCCGAGGTAGGGGCTCGGCCATGATGTCCTTCGCAAAAGGTGTGGCCAAGGCGTCCCGAGGCTTAGGTGACTCGTCGCGCACCTCAATCTTGCGCTACAACTCGTGCATCTGTCTGCGCTGTTGTTCCATCTCATCACGCTGGGAGCTTGGAGGTCGGCCTCTAGTCTCCCCCGAGCGCTCAACTGGTGGGGTCGGCTCCCGGGGCCCCAGAGCACGAGGTTCATGGCTCCGGGACCTCCGTGAACACGACGACTGCGCCTGTCTGGCATTTGCGGTCGGCCTCGGCCCTAGGCGGTCTCGCGCCAACACACGCAAGCCCAACTGCCCGAGTGCGGATGCGGTCCGGGTCGACCGTGTCCTCCTCTCCTCCCGGTGCTCATACGGGCCTCGGCTGGCCTCCGCTTTGTCCCGTCTCTTGGATGGTCGCAGTGAATTGACTTCCCCGTCGGTCGGCGTCTCGGGTGCCTGGAGCGTGTGAGTGCTGGGGCCTCTGTGCTCCCTCGGAGGGGTCAAAGGTGGAGGTGCCGGGGCACCCCGTCGTTGTCCCGCCGCGACACGGTTGAGCGCGGTCGCCGCCTGCTCAAGTGCCGCGGCCTCCTCTTGGGGAGTCGGAGTCCGGGGTGAGACGAGTGGCGTCGTCCCGCTGAGAGGGTGATTGTTGGTGAGCCGACCCCGGAGGTCCTCCGCCGTCCCCCGCCGGTTCCTGTTGATCTAATCTCTGAGGTCCCCTCCCGTCCCGACGGGCACGGTCTGCCAACTCGTCATGGTCCCGTTGGGGTGGTTGGCGAGGGAGAGGTCGCGTGTGTTGCGTGAACCCTGCGAGTTGTGGGTGTTCGACCCGGATCTTGTCATCGCGGTGGATGAATGATAGTAGGGAGAGCGCTTAAGCTTATACAGCCGCTCTCAACAAGAGCACCAATGATGGATTATATGAACCCGGGGTCCGGATTATACAACCCGAATATATGTCGAATATGATAAACGAATAATAAAATGATTATAAATGGGGTGTGTACGAAAAGAATATTATATTAATTGAGCGTAAAAGGCTATTACAGAGGTTCGGGACGTGTAATAACGTTACAAGTATTGTCAGGATGTAGGAGATAGGAATCAAGTGTCCCTTGTTAAAACAAGGGGAGGGGTTTTTATATGCTACAAGCCTCTAACCGCTCCCCCTAAACCAGGGGATGGTTGGATCTGGCTCTTTGACCGCGTCCTAGCTCAGGACCGGGTTCAAAGCGTGGCCCGGGGTACGCGGGAGGAGTCGCAACTGCCACCGCACCACTCGGACAACGCGGGGACCCCGTCCCGGCCGAGCCCGGAGCTCGGCCAGGCCGACCCAAAGGGTGGCCGACCCCACGTAGGCCGACCCGGGGTGCGCCGGCCGACCCCGTAGTGGCCGGGCCTACGTAGGCCGACCCCATGGTGCCGAGCCCATGTTGGCCGATCCCGGGGGTGGTTCGTCACTCCGTGTGCACAGTAGCCGAGGACCCCGTGATAGTAGTCGGGGACCCTGTGATAGTAGCCGAGGACCCCGTGGTAGTAGTTGAGGACCCAAGGGAGGTAGACCCCTCCATGGTCTGTCCGGCCGCGTGCGTAGTCCACTCGGTGCCGGGTGTGATCCGCTCCATATTTCTTCGCTCCAGGTCCACTCCGTAATTATTCCATCAATAAGTGTTGAAGAAACTTGCGCGATGAGGAAGTGAAACCGCAAAATGTGAATATGAAGAAGAAAAGTCACGCTGTTAATTAAAAAAAAAAGAAAAAAAGATTGGTGGAAGATAACGGTGCCCGTAGGAACTGTTACCGTTTGGGACCGTGTTCACCATCCGGTTCCATGGCATAACGATTGCTCTCCGGTGAGTGTTGGTAACTGCCCTCGTGGCTCGCCACATAAGCTATGTTTGTATATTTAGATTGCCACATAAGCGTAATTAAGTAAATACCAGCAAACTTCCTCCGACTTTGGTGGCACTGCCACTTTTAGTCCTCAACTTTTAAATCAACCACTTTTAGGCCTCTTACTTTTTATTTCTAGCCATCTATGGTCCTTCCGTTAAACTTGGTCAACTAATGTTGTTTTCTCAAGGGTAATTCGGTCCTTTCATAATTAATTTATTAATTATTATGTTTAATTTCCTCATCAGAATAGTCAAACAATGGTTTCCCCAATGAAAGCAGCGACGAATTGTGAATGCATATATGGATTCACGAGCTGGTTTTGTACACGTTCATGGGGAAACTATTGTTTGACTATTCTGATGAGGAAATTAAACATAATAATTAATAAATTAATTATGAAAGGACTGAATTACCCTTGAGAAAATACCATTAGATGGCCAAATTTAACCGAAGGACCATAGATGATTAGAAACAAAAAGTAAGAGGACTAAAAGTGATTGATTTAAAAGTTGAGGACTAAAAGTGACAGTGCCACCAAAGTCGGAGACGTCTGCTGGTATTTACTCAAAAAAAATTACTTTCGGACGCCCTGTTCTTCTTCTTCTTTATTCTGCTTCATCTTCTTTTTCTTTATTCATTTCACCGCTTAATCATCATCATCTTTATTTATTTCACTGCTTAATCATCTTCATCTTTATTTATTTCACTGCTTATTATTATTATTATTATTATTATTATTATTATTATTATTATTATTATTATTATTGTTATTATTATTATTATTAGTATTATTATTATTATTATTATTATTATTATTATTATTATTATTATTATTATTATTAAATTGCAATACTCCAGGAAATTCAATATAAACCTCAATATTAAATTAAAATTCAAACAACAAATTCAATACTTAATATTTTTTCAAAATTGATTGATAATTTAATAATAAATGAAAGAGGAATTAAATTAAGGAAAATTATGCTGTGCAACCGTGTGCACCATGCATGGTACACACGGTTGCAAAAACGACGTCGTTTTGACTAAAAACGTGAGTCTGACTTAAAAAACAAATCAGTTTTGTTTCCCGTCAACAACATTATGTTGTGCATAATTTAAACTATATATCCAGAATGAATAAACTAAATATCCAGCATGTATGAAAAAAAAAAATCGGTTTCGATTTTCGTCAGTGGCGTTATGTTGTGCGTAATTTGAACTATATATCCAGAATGAATGAACTATATAGTTCAAATTATGCACATCATAACGTCGTTAATGGCAATCGAAACTGAATTTTTTTTAAAAAAAATATCGGATGTCAAAACTGTTATTATTATTATTATTATTATTATTATTATTATTATTATTATTATTATTATTATTATTATTATTATTATTATTATTGTTTTAGCATATGATTATATTGTATGGTATTAGGTGTAGTTGACTTGGTGTGGCCTAGTTATCAGGAGTAGTTTTAGTTTAGTTACAGATATACTTTGTATCACAATTCTATCGTAACTGAATTGATTGAATTCTCTAATCGGGTATCAGTCAGGTATCGGTTCTCTCCCCTCTCTGCAAATTTTTCCCCTCTCACCCGTAACCTCCACCGGCCAGATTCCTTTCCACCTCCGACCGCGCCATGTCGTCAAGCTCATCCGATCGCACTGCTTCCGCCACCGGCAGTCCGTCTCCGGCAGGCGGCAATGCACTGTCCGGCGCTCACCACTTTGTGAGCATGAAGCTGACACACCGCAACTTCTTGTTTTGGCGCACACAGGTGATCCCATTCCTTCGTGGCCAAGAGCAATTAGGGTACGTCGACGGTAGCCTGCCTTGTCCTCCGGCTACCATCACAGTTCCGTCGACTGACGCTGCCTCCGGCGCGACTGCTTCTGTCATCCCCAATCCGGCATTCAAGGCTTGGGAGAAGCAGGACCAGTCGATTGTATCTCTCTTGGTCTCCTCCATGGCAGATGAAGTCCTCCATCTCGCCGTCGGAAAGGAAACCTCCGCTGCTGTCTGGACCGCCATCACCACAGCTCTCGGATCCTCGAGTCAGGCGCGCTGCCTCAGCTTGTTGGGGCAGTTCCAGGTGTTACGGCAAGGCCACTCCTCCACCGCCGAGTACCTTGGTCGCGCACAGCTGCTCGTGGAAGCTCTAGCCCAGGCCGGCCGGCCGTTATCTCTAACCGAACAAAATCTCTATGTTTTCAGGGGTTTGAGGCCGGAGCTTAAGGCCTTGGCGGTTTCCCTCACGGCTTCGGGCTCTCCGGTCACACTGGCGCACCTCTCCGACCATCTCCAAGCCCACGAGTTCATACTCGTGGACGATTATCTGGCAGCAAACGACACCGGCAACCTCACGGCCATGTACGCCAGTTCCGGCCGTGGGCAGCAAACCGGCAGTGGTGGCAGGCAGTCCCATAATCCGCAAGGCCGTGGTGGACGTGGCAACCATGGCGGGCAAAATCGTGGCGGCCGGGGTGGTCGTAGAGCACCCCGATGTCAGATTTGCAGGTCTCGCGGCCACACAGCAGTATACTGCTTCAAACGCTATAACACACAGCCGCCGGCGCAGGCCCATGTTGCAATTTCCGGCGATGCCCCGTCACTACCGTCCACCGCAGCTCCGTCCGAGGCGTGGTATCCGGACACTGGAGCGACTGCTCATGCGACACCGGATGCAGGGATGATGAGTCACTCGGATGAGTACACAGGTTCAGACGTCTTGCGTGTTGGTAATGGCGCAGGTTTGGTGATCTCGCGAGTCGGTCATGCATCTCTACCATCCAATTCAAAACCGTTATCGTTGTCTAATATATTACATGTTCCGTCATTGTCTGTTCCGTTGTTATCCGTACAAAAATTCACATCTGAAAATAATGTATTCGTTGAATTTCACTCTAATTGTTTTTTTGTGAAGGATTCAACAACCAAGGAAATTCTACTTAAGGGTCCCACCACTGGCGGGCTATACAAACTCCCGGTCTCCCGGTGTCATC